ATAAGTGTAACTTCGGGATGAGCTTATATCTTTAAAAGGGTCAATTTACAAGATAAAAGGTAATTTTTGAATTATTGACATTTTTAAAGATATAAGCTCATCTCGATGCTATATTTATCAAGAGCTTTCATTTGAGTACTCACATGCATTTTTGATATATTTTTCATATATACATATATATATATATAATATATGTATATAAATATAAATATATAAAATATATGAAAAATTGATGTGGGTACTCAAATGAAAGGTCTTGATGAGTGTAACATCGGGATGAGCTTATATCTTTAAAAATGTCAATAGTTCACAAGATACAAAGTAATTTCTTAATTTTAGCTTATAAAAATCTTTATTTTTAAATTACGGCTCTTCATTAGTCCTAAGAAAAAATTACAAGAGACATTTTTTTTACAAAATTAAATTTTAAACTTTAATTTAAAAAATTTTTTTATACGACCAATATTTTTGCTTTAATATCAAAAATTGACACCATTAATTATTAAGGCAATAAATCCTGACCACAGTCAAGAGTCACGAGGTTACTCCGTTAAGATGTAAAATATTTTTTTTTTTATTTTACGAATTCATAAAAAAAAACATAATTTTATAATAAAAAATATTAAAAATAATTATTACTAAATAAACAATAATAAAGAAAATCTATTTATTCTCAATAGAGTAACCTCTGTTATTATTTCTTATGTAAAAACAAAAGTGATTTCAATTATTGAGTAATAAAAATTATATACTCTCGTCTTTTACATTGAATGAAGTTACTGCCGACAATCTAATATTTAAATTTATCCGTACCTCATAATTATTGTACAATAATTCGATGAACAATTATTTATTATAATTTATAAAGTAACTTCCGTTATTGACGCCAAAACTTTTTTGTAATTTTTTTTTCTAGTTATTAATTTAAAAAATTAAATATAAAAATAACAATTTAACAAAAAAATTGTTTAATTTAATTTAAATTTAAAAACAACAATTTAAAAAAAAAATTATTAAAATTATTTAATTTAATTTAAAAAATTAAATATAAAAATAACAATTAAAAAAAAATATTAAATTAAAAACAGTTTAACAAAAAAATTGTTGAATTATTTAATATAATATTACGCGATAAATTTTTAATTTCATAATACTTGTCTATATTATATATAAATAATGTCTAATGTGCAAAAAAGAAGACTTAGAAAAAGAAAGTATCCAAGGTCAGTTCAATGTACTTATCTATAATTAATAATTGATTATTAATTTATAAATAAATTAATAAATCAATTTATATTAAATTACTGTTCTAATTTTTTTTTTTTTTTTCCAGGATTTAAGGAAGCGCTAAAGAATTTTTCCGAGTCGGAAAATTTTTCTGTATCATTTTACCAAATTGCCGAATAAAAAAAAAACTAGATAAACTTTCACTGCTCTTACTCTTGCTCTCCTGGACAGCGAGTTGATATAATGAGAAATAAGGCGTGAAAGTTTTTAAAATAAAACGTGGGCACTTACCAGTAAGTTCTCAAGTTGATAATAAGTTGCTCAGTAACCAGTAAGCAGCCAAGTAAGTAAGAGAATTTTCAAACCTTTCACGTTTTATTATTTTATTTCATTTAAAAAAATAATAAAGACAATCAGGCCACTGGGTGACTTGCCAGGAAAAACTAAAAAAAAAAAATTTTATTATTTGGATTATTGTCATTTATAATAATAAAATAAATTCCAGGGTGAACGGTACCGGGTAGAACGTCATCGTCGAAGCAGCGGCTAAGTATGCCAACCGAATGGCGGGGGAAGCATACGCACCGATACCCGCACCAGCAATTGACAGCAAACACTATTTAGTAATCCAAGTTATTCAGCAGTGAACGTTTGCTCTCCACTTAGACTCATCTTTTATTTTTTTATTGTAGATCAAATATTTTTATTTCCATGGCGAAGATCAATTGGATTGTCCTGTGTGTATATTTGCTCCCGAGCCAGCTCGACGCCGGGCTCACCGAGGAGCTGGTCAGACTCGCCAAAGGACCGATTCAGGAGGCCTTTGAGAGCGGCGCGGCTAATGATTTGAAGAATGAAGATTGTATCTGGAGACGCGGGTATGATACTGATGATTGTCCTGATCCGGATGTGCATATCTATTTGTACACTCCGGGAAAACCGAGGAGGGAACTTGTCCATGGGTCTTCAGACTGGCTGAGGTTTGATTATGATCCTACTAAGGAGAATATTGTTCTGATTCATGGATATGCCGGTGAGTTTAATTTTTTTTTTATGGAATTTAAATGTTTCATTTCCTTTTCTGAAATAGTTTATTATAACTTTTTAAAGTATAGATTAGAATTTCGCGATAAAGAAATCACCTTGTATCTTGTGAACTATTGACATTTTTAAAGATATAAGCTCATCCTGATGTTACACTCATCAAGACCTTTTATTTGAATACCCACATCAATTTTATCATATATTTATATATATTATATATATATATGTATATATGAAAAATATATGAAAAATTGATGTGGGTACTCAAATGAAAGCTCTTAATGAGTGTAACACCCGGATGAGCTTATATATTTAAAAATGTCAATAGTTCACAAGATACAAGGTCATTTCTTGAATTAGTGCCTTTTAAATGTTTCATTTCCTTTTCTAAAATAGTTTATTATGATAACTTTTTGAAGTGTAAATAGATTAGAATTTCGCGATAAACAAAAATTGTTTATTTATTTATTTTACTTTGTACATGTCAATGTGGTTTGTCAAAAATTAATTTATATAATTAAGAGACTAAGAAAAATTTTAAACGGGTATATCTTTATTGTAAATTGGGTTTGATATTTTTTCAGCGATAGTCATTTATGATTTAAATAATTTCAAGAGTAAGCAAAATTTTCCGACGAGCATATTATTATTTTTAAAGGAATTTTTGTAGTTTAATTTGGTATCATCAGAAAGGTCTTAATAAGAATTAGTGCCTTTTGGTTTAATATATTTTTTAGTAGTCAATTTTTTATTTAAAGTTTTTGGAGGAGTTTTTAATAGTTTGTTGGTTCTATAAATTTGTTCCGTGACATTTGACCATTAAATAATTAGTAATTGATCCTGTGATAGCACTATTATTTTTAAAATTTATTTAAAAAGTACCCAGACTATGTATAGTGTCATAAATATCAAAAAATTATCAAGTCTAAAGTTTCTCATTTAGAATCCTTAATTTTGAGCAGTCACGTAGTGACTGCTCCCTAGTAAGACTTCAAAATTTTAATAAATTTATTTTTATATTCACTTGAAAAGATCCTTAAAACCATAATTCAAAAATTACTTTTTTTCGACCAAGTACTTATAATTTAATTTTTCTCCTTAAAAAAATTAAATTTTTTATTAAAAATTTTAAATAAAACTTTTAATTAAAAAATTAAATTATATTTTTAAAATAATAATTTTCCAACTAAATAAAAATTTCCAGGAGGAGATGACACCTTACCAATCTCAGTCTTAAGAGACGCTTATATGAAAAACGGAAGCTACAACGTCTTCCTAGTAGACTGGGGCAAGTTATCAGCAGCTCCATGCTACCCAGCATCAGTAGCAAACCTGCGACCAGTAGCCCGGTGTCTATCCTTATCATTAACCAACCTTCGGCACCTGGGGATGCCCATCGCCCGTACAACCTGCGTAGGCCACTCTCTAGGCGCGCACCTCTGCGGTATAATGGCCAACTACCTGCTCTTCAGGATGCACCGGATAGTAGGCTTGGACCCGGCTCGTCCTCTGGTGCGTCCTGGCCTGGGCAACCGACTAGATAGCGGCGACGCGGACTTCGTCGAGGTGATCCACACCAACGCCGGGTACTACGGCGAAATCGGGCGGGTTGGACACGTTGACGTCTGCGTTAACGGAGGTAAGGTCCAGCCGTTTTGCGAGGACAAGCAGAACCACCAATTGTGCAGCCATGTCTGGGTAGTTTGTTACATGGCTCAGAGCATCGACGGAGACAGGCCTCTGGTCGCCGAGCCTTGCTCCAGGAGGTGTCCGTCTGGTCCGAGAATCACTGTGAGACAGGGACAGGATCTTCTTGTTGGGCAGCACACTCCTTCTGGGTCCAAGGGGTCTTTTTGCTTGACCAGCTATGACCCTCCTTACTGTCCCAAGTTTTCTAAGGACGGGCGCGGTGATGCTCGCTGTTGCATGTGAAAGGCTGGACAATTTAAAAGCAATTTAATAATTATCTATCATATATATTTCTGTATATGTCTATGGTACGTCTACATACCTATGTAATAAATAGATAAGTACTGTTGTCAGTAAGATCACGCCTCCAGCCGGAAGTCTTTTTGGTATTCAAACTCTGTTATTGTCAATGTATTTTAATAAGCTTGACTAAAAAAAAAAAAAAGAAAAATAATGATAATAAATGTAAACATATTTTTAATGCAATAACGGAATCAAACCGTTAGCTGTGCTACAACTCGATGCAATTTTTTATTTCTCAGATTTTGGGATTTATTTTTTTATTATTTAACTTTCTATATGATCCACTTGCAAGTTTTATGCTGAGAGAAATTTTTGTTTGAATTGAGCAAAGAGAAAACTCATCTTTAGTTTTTTTTTAGGTAAGAATTTTACTTTCAGCAATATTTAATTATTGTTTATATAAGTTATGAGTTACTTTCAATTTAAATTGAAATATTGTAAAATAAAAATTTTTACTTTTAAATTAAAAAATTTTTTTTTTAATTTTAATAATTAAAATATTTTAGTAAAATTTAAGTAAGCAATATATTATTAAGAGAATAAGGAGGTATACGAAAATGCATCTCTAGGTACATAATTAAGAAATGACCTTGTATCTTGTGAATTATTGACATTTTTAAAGATATAAGCTCATCCCAATGTTACACTTATCAAGACCTTTCGTTTGAGTACCCACATGCATTTTTGATATATTTTTCATATATAAATATATAAAATATATAAAAAAATTGATCTGGGTACTCAAATGAAAGGTCTCGATGAGTGTAACATCGGGATGAGTTTATATCTTTAAAAATGTCAATAATTAAGAAATTATATTATATTTTGTCAACTTACGATATTTTTGAAGATGTAAGCTCATCCTGATATTACATTCATCAAACGCTTTCATTTGAGTACCCACATGCATAATTGATATATTTTTCATATTTACATATATACATATAATATATATAAATATAAGAAAAATTGATGTGGGTACTCGAATGAAAGGTCTTGATGAGTGTAACATCAAGATGAGCTTATATCTTTAAAAACATCAATATTTAAGAAAATACCGTGCTATTAAACAAAATTCATCATTTAATAAAACAAAATTTTATTTATTTATAGCTCACAAGTCACGGCAGTCACATAGTGACTGCAAGATACTTAGTTTTTAGTAAAATAATAAAAAAATTTTGTATTATTATTCAAAACTTTAAATTTAATTTTATCCTAGGCGCGCAGTAGCCTATCGGATCCGGCCCTTGCTATCAAAGCATTGGACCGGGTTCGAATCCGGCGTACACCAATGAATATTTTCAATATTTAAGTGTATTATTCTGCTCAGCCCAAGAAATACAAACGAGTTCCAATCTCAAAAGTTTACCCCCTACCGTAGTCGCTCATGACCTTAGTTAGTTTATGCGACTTTAAACAAATAAAAAAAAAAAAAAAAAATTTATCCTGAAACACGGTAGTTCATGAGCCAAGTAGTCGTTTAAAAAATCTCAACCTCACTTAAATGTTATTTACTTAAAAATATATTATTTAAACTGAATAACCATCAAAATATTTATTATAACAAAGCAGTACTCGAGTTGTCTAGTCATCTAGTCATTTAAAAGCCCTTGACTTTATAAATTTTCAGCGGTGTAGTCGCGTGCTCTTACTATTTAAGATTGGATTATCGATAACAGACTCACTACTCAGCATTAATATAATAACATATATAACAAAGCGAGTAATTTCGTACAATAAGCCGAGACCTTGTTACTTAATAAATATTTTAAGTAATAATAATTTTTACAATATAAGTATCAAAAAAAAAAAAAAAAAATGTATACTTATATTTAAAAAAAATATTTTATTCAATACAAATTCTTCTTAAAATTAATCTTAAATTAAAATATGTACAATAGTCTCTTGATATTTTTAATAAACTTTGGTATTATAAAATATATGAATATTTAATGTTCAATTATTGTAATTGTAATATATAATAAAGATATCACTAGCCTTCGAAAAAAAGAAGAAAGGCAGTGTTATCTATGCTGAGGTCCAGTAACCAGCACTTTGCTCTTTTTTGTAAAAATTTAATTTAACGGCACTTGGTACCCGTGATGTCCGCAAGAGTAGAAAGCAATGATTGGAGTCTAGGGAGCGTCTAACCAGGGTCTGTAGAATTTAGACTGGAGTTCCTCCTGGATCATCGGCGGAGGGCTGCTTCCTTCGTTGCTGCAAACTCCGCTGTCTCCTGAGGTGGAGGAGCGACAGCTCTGTTCGTCGCAGGAGTTGTCTTCTTCGTCTTGCAGGTTCTTGGAATTCTCGAGCTTTCTTTTGCAGCTCTTACCGGTCTCGCGGAATCCTTTTGCGAAGGGGTTGTGGTCGATCTTCAGCTTGGTGATGCTTTCGTTTTGATACGCCGTCACTGCGATGAACTCTGTCTCTGGGAAGGTGAAGGTCAATGATGGTTGAGAGAACAGGTTCATCATATTCTCGTTTGGTGATGATAAGATGATCCAGATTTTGGGGATGTATTTGTGCATTGAGCATAGTACGACCTGGAAGATTAAATTAGAGTTGATAATTTTGGATTGTAAAATTTTATTCTCAATTTGAATATTTTTTTTTAATAATTAAAACAAATTTTATTAATCAATTATAAAAAAAAATTTGCACTTTATGATTTTTTAAAATTTTCTAAATATAGAATTTTTATCAAAATTAAATTGTTAGAAAAATTTTTAGAATAGTGTCTATTGAATTAAGAATTTTAATATAAATAAATATTTTGCTTTATTGAATAATGACTTTTGTTAAATTGCACTCTATCTTAACTATATTGAAGTTTTTAAAGATATGAGCTCATCTCGATGTTACATTCATCAAGAGCTTTTATTCAAGTACCCACATCAATTTTTTATATATTTTTCATATATACATATATATATATATATAATATATTTTGAAGATATAAGCTCATCCTGATGTTACACTCATCAAGAGCTTTCATTTGAGTACCTACATGCATTTTTTATATATTTTTCATATATTTATATATATTATATATATGTATATATGAAAAATATATAAAATATGCGTGTGGGTACTTAAATGAAAAAAGGTCTTGATGAGTGTAATGTCAGGGTGAGCTTATATCTTTAAAAATGTTAATAATTAAGAAATTATATTGTATTTTGTCAACTTACGATAATTCTAAATATATAAGCTCATCCTAATGTTACACTCATCAAGATCTTTCATTTGAGTACCCACATGCATTTTTGATATATTTATCATATATACATATATAGAATATATATAAATATATGAAAAATTGATGTGGGTACTCAAATGAAAGGTCTTGATGAGTGTAATGTAAGGATGAGCTTATATCTTTAAAAATGTCAATAGTTAACAAGATATGTCATTTCTTAATTATTGACATTTTTTAAGATATAAACTCATTTTGATGTTACAGTCATCGAGACCTTTTATTTAAGTACCCACATGGCATTTTTTATATATTATATAATATATATGTGGTATTTGTGAAATATATAAATATATAAAATATATGAAAAAATGATGTGAGTACTCAAATGAAAGGTCTTGATGAGTCTAATATCAGGATGAGCTTATATATTAAAAAATCTCAATAGTTCACAAGATACAAGGTAATTTCTTAATTATGTATCTAACGATAGAGAATTTTTAATTGCAGCCTTAATACTTATAATAAATTGACTATTGGTGAGAAGACCTTTGCAATGACACTAAATTTTACTAAAAAAACCGATTTTATCATGACTATCCTGGACACAAAATTTTGCTTATCCTCTCAATAATATAGATAATTTTTAACAAAATAAAACATCTAATTGTTTCTTTAAATAACCGAAAAAAAATTTTTCTTGATTTACAATTGTTGCTCTTAAAAAAAAAAAAATGAATAATTACATTGTTGTGATGGTCGACGACGTTGTTAGTAAGTTTAAGCTTAATGAAGTTGATAGGCTGATTCATCCAGTGAGACCCAGTAGCCGGACTGTCAGGATGAATATAAATTCTCTTGTGAGTCGGGGGCTGGGGTTCAGCTGCTCCGGCGCTAGTCCAGCCCCTAACTTTCGACTCACCGTCGCATACCGAGCCACTTGTTGACTCACATCCCACGTACTTGTGACGGCGTCTAGACGACGGGACTATTTCCATCATCACGCAATAGTGCATTCGGCGATCTAGACCCTCTACTGTGACCTGGACCGATGGGAACATCCGCCTATAAAAAAAAAGATATATTAATATTGATACACAATTTTAAAATCAGCTGTCATCGTTAAAATTTTTTTTAAGTAATTCGCGAGACAACCTATTTAGGTTAGGTTGTTTGCTTTCCACGTATAATTATGCGCTACGCTAATGGTCGTAGTTATTAATGCTTTTCCATATATGTAAAATTTACTTTGTTCTCAGGCCTTATCTTAATTACACTTGTTAAAAACTCTGCTGACGGTTTATACCTGGCTCTCATCCAGCCGGACCTTTCCAACATTTTATAACAGGTAACATATTTCTAACATAGTTTTGTTTTAGTGTCCTTGAATAATTTTACGCAACTCAACAATATATATATATTTTTTTTTTCAGGTCTTATCCGAAAAGGGAAACTAAATTTATTTTTTGTCTTAAGATAATTGCTGCCATGATGGATGACTTTTTATTTTTTCATCTTGTATAATTATTTACTAAAAAAAAAAATTTTTCTTCAACTGAGAAAACTTAACAAGGAAGATAAATTAAATCTTGTTTTACTACGGTGAGTCTGAACTTAGCCGCGAGCCGCCATTTTGTTTATGAGTATTAAAAAATTTGACAAAATTAAATTAGCTGACATTTGAAAATTTTTATAATTTTCTTTACTGTTAAAATTATTACAATAAAATTAAAATAGAAAAATTCACTTATGGCAAATTTAAAAAATTTTACACACAATTTTTTTAATTTAATTGTTGAAAAAAATTTAACATTGTTGAACATCACCTGATTTTGGTATCATAAATTATTTTCATAATTTTAATAAAATTATTGAGAAAAAAATTAAATAAATAAATTGCACGTGCGAAAATTAAAAAAAAATGATTAAAAGTATTTTTTTAATTGTAATTAACTTGTTATAAAAATAAAAAAAATTGACAGCTGTTAACTAACTTCAGTATTGTTAAGTTAGCCGACATCTAAAAATTAATATGATTTTTTTTTATTAAAGAATTATTACAGAAAATAGAAAAAAAAATTTTTTTCGTTTGTTAAAAACTTCAAAAACTATAAGTGCAATTTTTTAAAAATATTATTTAATTCAAATTTAATAATTAAATGTCGGCTAACTTTACTTTTATATAATTTAAATGAAAATTAAGTTAGCTGACATTTAAAAATTTTTAGAATTTTTTTTATTGAAAAAATTATTAAAAAAAAATTTCATATGTAAAAAAACTGTAAGTGCAATTTAAAAAAAAAATTCTTTTGTTTTAATTTATTAAAAAAAAAATCAAAAACGTCAGCTACCTTTATGATACTAAAATTAGCCGAGGTTAAAAAATATTTGATGTTTTTTATTAATTGAATTAGAACTAAAAATCTATTTGTAAAAAATTGCACTTATGGTTTTTAAAATTTTCTACAAGTGAATTTTTTTTTAATAATATAAATTACAAAAATTTTCAGATGTCGGCTAATTTAATTTTTATGCTAATTTTCGAGTTAAATAATTTAAACTATTTTTTTTTTAATTTTTAGACAAAAAAAAACCGAGGTGTGAAAGTGAAAAAAAAAAATACACATGTCCAACACGTGGACAAAAGTGGCATGGTCAATAAAAAAAAGCTGTTTCTAACACGTGTGAAAAAATAACAATTCTTCAATACAACATGACACATTATGTTATATCCTCTAAAAATGGTTATCTTTAAAAGTATTTTTATTGTCGGTTGTCTGGCTGCTGACCAAAGAGGCGACGTGACGATTAGTCGCACTCAGAAGTGTCTTATCGTCGAGCCGATCGCAAGACACTGCTGCAATTTTTATTGCCACGACCGATAAGACTACCAAGAAGTCCTTACATTAATACATTAATACATTAATACATTAATACATTAAAAATGTTATCGAGAGGCGTTGATATATTATTAACGGGGTTTGCAGAGGAAGCGGAAGCGGAAGGACCTTTGTCTTTTTTATCTTCAAACTAATTCTTGGTAATCATAAACACAATAATTTATTTCTAATAATTTTAATAATTTGGAGGTAGTTTAAGTTATGTAAGCAAGGAATGTGAGAAAAGGTTTCTATCTCACCGAGTGGTCGTATCGGTCCTACTCATAAAAAATAGCGACCTGGGTCTGATGTTTCATGTTTGTCTATGCTACTATACTCTAAGCTTTACTTAGCTACTCCAGCTAGCGGATGGGCCTGATCTTAAACAGTAGGCGGCATTTAAAAGACTAAGACAAGTAGTTTTTTGGCGCCGGGTTCAATTCGTCTGGCTACACTCTACTCCGGTAATCTGTTTTCTTCTTTATTCTTATTCTGTCTAATAACGAACCAACGACCACCGACAATATACGCTCTAATAGTAAACTAAAGTACCTTTTTATTTTTTCTTTTAAATTCTATTCCTTTATTTCATTTCTCAAAAAACTAGATTATTCATTTCGCGCCGTCTACGTTGCGACAAATGTGACAAGGGTGTCTCTGTCTGTAGTCAGACTTACTTTTTGAAATCATCCGGCTGGAAAAATTCTAGAGACTTAAAATTTTGTATAAGCTTTTGGATTTTACAGTTTTTTTTTTTTTTTTTTTTTTTTTTTTTAATAAACTCTTAGTGTCTTATCTTTGAAAGGCTAATTGGGAGAACAAACGGCGCCGATAAATTTTTCTACATTGTAAATTTATTAAAGAAAATTGCCGTGAATGTTCTTTTATTTAATGTGTCGAGTCCTTGTCAAATCTGAATTACGGTTAATGAAATTTGTAATTTTAGTCTAATGAGAAAACGATTATAATAAGTTTCTTTTCTTTCGAGTTATCTTTTATTCTTTTAATGTAAATGACGAAATAGTTTAGACTTATTTTAAGTTTTAAAATATTAATTTTCTAAAATTTTAATTTAAATATTTATTATAAAAAAATTTTTTTTTAAATATTATTTAAATATTTATTGCAAAAAATAAATAAAATTTTGCTTTATTAAATAACGAATTTTGTTAAATTGCACTGTACTGTCTTAAATATTGACGTTTTTAAAGATATAAGCTCATCACGATGTTACACTCATCAAGAGCTTCCATTTGAGTACCCATATGCATTTTTGATATATTTTTCATATATACATATATATAATATATAAATATATAAAATATATGAAAAATCGATGTGGGTACTTAAATGAAAGGTCTTGATGAGTATAACCTCAGGATGAGCTTATATCTTTAAAAATGTCAATAGTTCACAAGATACAAGGTCATTTCTTAATTATCCAGACTTTTCTTAAAAAAATATTTTTCAAAAAACTTACCGTCCAAGCTTAGTAATAATCATTTCATTTGTATGATTATGGAACTTCATCCAAAGATCTTTATTGTCCAGCTTAACATCAACAGCTTGATGATCGTGAACTGAAAAAAAAAAATAATTAAAAAAAAATGAAATTGGTGTCGGAAAAGATTAAAGAGATCGTCTTGGCGTTCTGCGGCGACAAGATGGATTTGCTATTGAAAAGCTTAGCGTAAGTCTCTCGGGATAATTGCTCGGCAGACTTGATATATATTTTTATCCATTTGAGTACTGTGTATTGGTCCCAAAAATCTCGTCTGCCTCTTTACTAGCATTATTCGCGTTTCACGGGCAGATAACGATTGTCCGGACGAATGACCCGCGGTCTTTTTGAGCGGCACTTTTCAACAGATATCTTTTGTATATTTATATTCAAGTCCTTATTGACGTTACACGCAGCACAATAAAGAAGACAATAAACAGTTAAATATTTACCTGGATGAGGAACACAGTTGTACATCATTGGCGGATAATACGGAAGAACTTGCATTTTTATTTTATTTATTTTTTATTTTATTTATATAAAATTATATAAATTCGGTAAGTCACTGCACTGTTAACTTGATTAATTTAGTTTTGATTTAGTAAAAATATACTAAGGCACAAATTTGAGCAATGTGGTGTCTTGGAAGACTTGCTGAAGACTGAAGGAAGAATACACTAGCCGGCTTTTATATCCCGGCTACTTCAAAGTCGGCATGACGTTTCTTAAAACGTGGGTTTCTGTAACTAACGTCTGATTGGATGAAATAGTTACGCCCACTGATCTTATTGGCTGCTCGGAGAATTTATTGAATTATTTATTCGCTAAAATAGACAGATAAATAATTATTAATTTAATTATTAACTATTAATTTAATAATTTATTATTTTTTTTTTATTTTAAAAAATATTTTTTTATAGTTATAAATTTTAATATTTAATTTTTTAATTTCTAAAATTTTAGGATCAAAATAAATAAATAAATTATTTAATTAAATAAATAAAATTATATTATATTTAAATTTTGTGAAATTTATTAAAATAATTTTAGTTAAATTCGTTTGTAAAAGAAGACAATTGTAAGGAAATAATAGTCCATTATACTATTTTAAATTCTAAAGATTTTAAAGCGTTAAGTTTTTCTTTTGATGAAGATTATAATGGAGCATTAAATTTTTGTTTGATTTTAGTATAATGAAAATGTGTGACTAAGGTAATAAATTTTAATAATGGGTTTAAATAATTAAGAATTTAATATTTTCTTATATATAGAGATATTTAAAATTTTGAAATTTGCAAATAAAATTTTAATTTGAAGAAATTTTAAATAATTATTAAAATTAAAAATAGAGAAAATATTTTTAAAATAAATAAAAAAATTTATAACTTACACTGTAAATATTTTTAAAAGATAAAAAAATAATCTGAAATTTTATAAAAATAAAAATTAATACGATTTTATTAAAAAAGTATCAATTTTAATTTTATCTGAAACAAAAAAAAATATTTATTATTTAAAAAAGTATTAAAATAAAATAGCAAGTGTGAAAACGGTCGAAGATTTTATTCTCGGATTAACTGCGTAAGCGATACCTCCACAGGATCCGAGTATCTGAATTTTGACCTGGAACTTGTCAGCGTTGGGTCTAGAAAAAAACTCATCGGGGTGTCTTGGCCCTCGAAAACCCTGTAATATTTATTATCCGAGTTAAAAAAACTGTACCAGCCGTGAAGGACCTTCGGAAACTGAGATAAGCTCGAGTGCTTCTGTTTTTTCAGGTTATTTTGCTTCTGTTCCGACTCTGAGAGTGTCTGGAAAAACCCGTCAAGTATTTTACTTACTACTAAGTGCGTATAAAAATTTATCTTATCATTTTAATAATTAATAAAAATTTACTTGACCTAATTAAAGTTTTCTTCTCAGATTCGGCGTTTTGTTTTCTGTTTTCAGTTAATTTATAAGATTAGTAAAATTAGCAGACATTTGATCATTTTTTTCATCAATAAAAATTATAAGCAAAATATTTAAAAAAATTGCACTTGCAATTTTTTTCATGATAATTAAGTTAGCCGGCATTTAAAAATTTTTGTAATTATTTTTATTGAAAAAAAATAATTGCAAAAAAAATTGAATTTTTGAACAATTTGAAGTGCAATTTTTTAAAAATATTTTTAATTATAACTCAATAACTGAAGAATTAAATTATTTTTCAATAAAAATTTATACCGTCAGCTAATTTAATTTTCATAAAGAAGAAGCATTCACATTCTGCATATGGTTAAAAAAAATTAAAAAGTGACTCATCTGATTTGATCTGTAAACAAGCACACATATTAAAGTCCAACCGGACCACCCTCGGTTCAGAGGAACGATAACGCTGGAACTCTGTAAACAAAATATTTCATAAATCAGTTTTCCTGTGGGGGAAAAAAAGTGATGCGTAATAACTTAAAAAGGATGGCGTAATTATTAGTAATAAGTGAGTAACTAAAAACTAATTGAATAAAAATATGCGTAACAATTAAAAAAAAATTTTTGGCAGATTTAAGATCTAGATAATTTTAAAGGCTAACGTTTTTCTACTTATACGGCTTACATTACAGATATGACACGTGGAAAGAAGCTTAACTGATTTGTCAACGCATTTACGATTGTGGTAGAATAAAACAATCGTTAATGCCCATGGCACCTCTTCCTATACGAAAATTACGTTAATTAGAGAATAATTAACGGTCAGGCGCCCATAATACAGCTGCTTGATTCTACGAAAATATGATAATGTTTTTTTACTCAAAGATTTATGATTATATTAAACGTAAATGATATATTTTTAAAATTATTTTTTTTTGGTTGGCGCCTCGTATCTTTGTTTGGATAATTCTCATTATCTATTATTCTGTGTGTCAAAATAAAAGTGTCGAACGCTCGACAAAATAACCTTTGTTACTCAGAGGCATTGTTTAACTAAGAGCTTCTGGATCTATTTGACACTAAAATCTCATTACTATTACTCGAGCTATTGTAATTAGTATTTAAATATTTGACGTGCGCACAGTAGTAGATATATATGTACTGTTCTTCTGTACTCATGTCACTTCACACCTTTGGTTAGTTTTACAAAATGTTATATTACGTAGACGCCACACCTCTAAAGTAGTTAAGCCGGATTTTCTGTAAGATTTTTTTTTTTCTGATTAAAATAACACTAAGGGTCGTTAGAAAATTTGTGGAATTTTTTTTTTTAATATTTGTTATTCTCAAATAACTTCTTTATATGAAAATGAAGTTAGCTGACATTTCAAAATTTTTAGAAATTTTTTATTAAATAAATTTCAATTAAACAATTAAAAAAAAAAATTGTCACATGTAAAAAACTTGAAAAACTATAAGTGCAATTTTTTATAATTTATAAATATCTTTTTAGTTGTAATTTAATTAATAAAAAAAAATCAAAAATTTTTAGACATCTGCTAACTGCAGTGTCATTAAATATATTTTTCAAAATATTTTTGAGCGCTACTGTATAAAAATTTTTTGAAATTTTTTTTTTTTTAATAAATAATATTAAAATTAAAGATTCTCGGAAACATAAATCATAAGTAACAAGCACCTTATTATTTATACCTTCACTTATAGTTTTTGAAGTTTTCAACAAATGAAAGAATTTTTTTTTATTTTTTTATAATTCTTTAATACAACAAAATCATAAAAAGTTATAAATGTCGGCTAACTTTATTTTTATTGCTAACTTCAGTGTCATTTTTATAACGGTTATAAAAATTTTTTAAATTGACAGCTGACAGCTAACTTCAGTATCATTAATATTGAAGTTAGCTGATAACGCCATATTTTTATAAAAAATTCTTTTTAATAAAAAAAAAAAACTTCTAAAAATTTCCACTAATAATTTCTTTTAATTTTCACATGTGTAATTTTTTTATTAAATTCTTTTTATAATAATTTAATTGATGAAAGTTAAATTAGCTGAAAGCGAAAATTTTTATTTATTAAATTAGCAACAAAAAAATTTTTTTTTTAAATTCCACGGGTAGTTTCTCAAATTTTTTACATGTGCAATTTTTTTGTAATAATTTTATTAATAATCAAAATTCTGATAATTGTCAGCTGTCTGCTAATTTTATTTTCATATTTAATTGCTACAAAAAATTATTAAAAAATTTATAATGTCTATCAACTTCAGTGTTATAGAAAATATTTATGTTGACTGAAGTTAGCTATAATTTTTTAACAATACTCAAGTTAGCTAACAGCTGCCATTTTTTTTTATTTTTATAACAATTTAATTATAATTAAAAAAATGCTTCTAATAATTTTTTTTTTAATTTTCAGATGTGGAATGTTTAAGACAGTTAACTTCAAAAAAATTGTAAGTATATTTTATTTCTTCAATGAGAGGTTATAAATTTGAATATATTGTTGATAAAATTGCATTGTCATTATTTCTTTTATAAAAAAAAAGTATGTTTAAAATTTTTTCAATTGTTTTTATGAGTTTCATAAAAATTAATTATTAGAAAATGTTTTAATTGAGATTAATTAAAGATTTTAGTTTTCTTAAATTAAAAAAAATTATTTTAACTATATAGTTCTATAGAAATAAAATTGTACATACAAAAAAAATATTAAGCATTTAAAAAAAAACGTTTTTAAGCGTATTGAAATTGATAAAATTTTAAAATTTTAAACAATACCATTGATAAGAAAATTGTTGGGCTGTTGTGAATAAATAATTAGAATTTAATAGTTGATATAATGATAAAAAGAAGTAAGTGAAAATAAAGTTGTTTTTTTGAGTTTAAAGTCTATTGAAATGATAAAATCTAAGTGTACTTAGAGTTACGAATATCCAATTGTAATTAGTGTGTAAATCTTAAACGTTTTCACAGCAGTTAAGACCCCAGCTATAGAAATTTTTGGGCAATTATTGTCATTTACACTTCACACGTTTTCTTTTTACTCTATGCATCGTTAGGCGCCATCATTATAGGTTGGCGCCGCATCGATACTAATACCCTTATTTATGGGTTAAGTCAACTAATTAGAAAAATATTGGCTGAAGAGAAATACATTTAGATATTCCTACCGTAAAAAGTTAACTAGTTGCAAACAATGAGTTATCTATACGAAAAATATTTTAATATTCACTTCTTTGTTTTTTTATTTTTTGCATAAATAAGTGTTTTTTTAATGGACATTTCTTCTTTTGTTTCAAGAGTCTTTTTTTTTTTTTAATTAATTTATTTAAAGTCGCCCTGATAGCTTAGGTCCTCAGCGACTACAATTTACAAAATTAACATTTAAGATTTAGTATAGATAACATTTCTTTGATTTTTGCGAAGTGATTTTCTTGATTAAGTGAGAGGAGAGTATTGTTGGGGATCTTGAGTCTTCTTCTTAGTTCTGATAGGTTAGGGCAGGTCAAGATATGTTGAACTGAGGCTCTTTCAGTGCATGCTGGACAACTTTTTGGATCTTCTTTGCTGAGAAGGTAACCATGAGAGAATGTTGTGTGTCCGATTCTTAGTCTTGTTAGTGAGCATTGATCTTCTCTTGATTGGAATTGGGGTCTTTCGTCCCAAGTATTTACTCGATGTTTATGTAGTTTAGTTTCTTCATTTTGCCAAATTTCATTCCACTTATGTGTTACGTGATTTTTTACTAGTTTTTTGAAGTCGTTTGGTGAAGTTCGGAGCTTGAGTGTGAGGTCAGTACCCGAGGATGTAGCTTCTTTAGCTTCCCTGTCAGCAGCTTCGTTACCTTCAATTCCCTGATGTGATCGAATCCAGATTATTCTTATGTTTTCTTGTTTGTTTAGGTGTAGAAGGCACGTTTGGCATTCTTGGATGATGTTGTCCGTTGAGTTGGGGTCTTTTTGAAATTTTTAAAAATCAAATTCCAATTATAACATTTTAAATGTATAGTTATAAAAACTACCCTTGCAGTCACTATGTGACTGCCGTGACTTATGAACTATAAATAAGTAAAATTTTGCTTTATTAAATAATGAATTTTATAAAATTGCTCTGTACTTTCTTAACTATTGACAATTTTAAAGATATAAGCTCATCCTAATGTTACACTCATCAAGAGCTTTCATTTGAGTACCCACATGCATTTTTGATATATTTTTCATATATACATATATATAATATATATAAAATATATAAATATATGAAAA